TTTACTTTACATCCCAATTGTAGCCTCCTCTCTCCCAGGCTCACCCTCCTTCCTGTTCCCTATCTTCCCTTCCACTCAGAAAAGGGGAGCCCCCTCCCACCAACCCACCCAACACATCAAGTACATCATCTTCCTCAGTGGCCTGGCAAGGCAGCCCCGCCAGGGGGGAAGTGATTGGAAAGCAGGCAACAGAGTCCTTGTTAGAGGACTCAGCTACCCATACGAGGGAACCCACGTGAAGCCTGAGCTGCCTATTAGGTACATCTGTGTAGGGGCCTAGCTCCAGTCCATGTGTGATGCTTGGTTGGGGCTTCAGTCTCTGCAAGCCTTCCTGGGCCCAGGTTAATTGCTTCTGTTGGTCTTGTGGAGTTCCCGTCCTCTCTAGTTCCTTCTATCCTTCCCCATTCCTCCACAAGGCCCCCTGCACTCCACCCAATGTTTGGCTTGAGTCTCAACACCGTTGCTGGGTGGACCCTTCCTGTGTTATTTAAATATTGTCTGATTTTTATCTTTTTTTTTTTTTTTTTTTTGAAGTTTTAACAGAACATTTATGTATTCATCTCTTTCTGGGTTACTTTTCCTCTTATTTCTCATCTTTTCATTTCAGCTAGGTGCTAGATAGTTTCAATGAGTTTATCTTCGTCTTTTAGATAACCAGTTTTCTCTTTAAGTGTGCTAATCTTTTCAATTTGTAAGTATACTTTTAGCACTTACCTGCCTACCTATCAGTCGTACATCTGTATTTGTTGAGACAGTGTCTTACTGTAGCTCCGCTTCACCTTGCATTGGTACAGTCTTTCCATCCCTCCCTCCTGAGTTGCTGAGGTAATAGGCATGCGCCATCATTCCTGGCACATGTTATTTTTAAAAAGTCTGTGTGGTTCCCCTTTTAGTTCTTTTAGTCTTTTGTTTGTGTTTGTTTTAAGATCTGTAGCTGTTTTGTAGTATGTATTTGGTCATCTTGGGGTATAGTTTTTAACATTATTGCTTGTTTTCTTCTGTTGTTTCTCATAATGGCTTGCTACATCGTTGATTGATTATGAACTATTTGATTCATCTTTGTGAGAAGCTGGAGTCTAACTTGGGGAGTACTTTCTGAAAGCATATCAGTTTTTTGGCTGGCAGTCGGAGAGTGACTGGAACCATTTTCAAGTTTCACACTGGGCTCCTGGCCCAGGGTTTACTACCTGGCTCCCTTGTGGCTTTTGGAGGGGCTGCCTCTAGCTCTGGGGAGTCAGTTTAGTGTCCAGCTTGAGGTTTGCTATCTTGGAGGGAGAGAGTAGCTATAAATGTTTTCCTCTCTCTAGGATTGGACAATTAAAAGAAATCTAATCTGCCAGACCTGAGGGCACACACCTTTAATCTCAGAATTTGGAAGGCAGAGATAGGCAGGTCTCTGTGAGTTCAAGGGCATCCTGGTCCGGTCGACATAGTGAGTTCCCTGCTAGTGAGGGAGACCCCGTCCCCTACCCCGCCATTGTGACTGACTGACTAGACACGTGTCTAGTCAGTCCTTTATTTTAGTAGGTAACTATGCTAGTTTTAGTTTGTATTAGAAAAATTTTTATCAAATAATATTTCTTAGTAAAAAATTTTATATTAAAACAAGTTTAAAGTTAAGCCATAGGTTAAGTCATTCTATAGGAAATACTAATTAACTGTACTGTACACATGTTGAGTTTGTTACAGTTTATTCTCTAGACCAGAGCGATGTAACATAAATAGGCCTATGATGATCGATCAGACAGTGTGAAAACTGCCTTCAGTGGTGTGGGCATGGTGCTCTCAGCTTTCAGAGGTCAGCTCAGTGCATTGGGATGACAGGAATGGCTTCCTGAGCTGAGGGGAACTGATGTCATCATGTGGTTGTGGGATAGGTTGCTAAGGAATGACCAACAGCCAGGTGTCCTGGAGTGGGGTCACCAGGCCATGTCGGCCTATTGTAGGGATAGAGTGTAATTTTGACGCTAAAGAGAGGCTGTGAGTGGATTTAATCAGTGACAGGCTGAGGTAATAGGCTCAGTTTCAGAGGATGCTGAAGGGCAGGCAGAAAGATGACAGTATGACTTTGGCATGAAGTACTTGTGTGGTTCATTCAGATAGTTGTTTGCTTTTATTTTTAGGGGAGTAGTGCAGAGGCAAGTTGGAAATGTTTAAGGAGAGTGGGGAGTCAGTGTTGACCTCCTTTTTGGTTTCCTTCACATTTTTAATTTGGATAACCATTTGGCATTTAGAGCAATTAATTGATAAAGAGTATACAGAAAGAGGAAAGAACTTGGCTTATTTTGAGAGTTCTTGAACTCTCTGAATTTGAAGGGCTGGAGACGTTTTGGTTAAGACGTAGTAGCAATTAACATGGAAGTTCCAGAAATTGAGTGTTGTGGCCCATCCTGGAGAGATTTGGGATCTTCAGCATTTGGAAATTTAAAATCCAGCGTTTCCTAAAATAGTGCCACCTGAGCTAATTTAAATGGTGCATAGATGAACATCTGAAAGGATTTAATAGTAATTTAATGTGAAAAACGTGTATACCAAACCTGTGGTATCATGGACATTATTGTTCAGGCTAAGTAAACTGCATGAAAGGGAAATATTAAGTAAAAATTCATACAGTAAATGGAAATGGCAAAAACCATGGTGAAGCTGTGCAAATGATAAAAAGTTCAGAAAGGTTATTTTGAGCCATGAGTGTGGTGGGTAAGGTCACTCAGAGAATAAGAGTGAGAAGAGAAGAGAGTTGGCATACGGGTGGTGGGGAATGCAGAAGAGGAACCCATGAAGGAGACTGAGGAAGAGCAGCCAGCCGAATAGGAGGAGATCCAGAAGATGGTCTGTGGAGTTCATAAGAAGAGTTCTCAGGAGGAGGAAGTGGTCCACAGTGTCAAGTAAGTTGTAAGCTGAAAAGTGCTCTTTGGATTTAGCAATTAAGGTAGACTATTTAGGTGGAATCATCTAAAAATAGTAGATTTTTAAAAATCTGCCCAGAATTATACACCCAGGCAATGGGAGCATCAAGGTTCCAGCCCAGTCCCTCTGGCCCCAGAGTTCATGCTTTTAACTATTTTGCCACATTGCGTGTCTAGCTGAACAAAGTAGAACATAGAAGCATGCAACAGCGTTGTAATCATAGTGCCGTTTTTCTGTGTGTCATCACGAGGTCTGCTAGGCTTGCTAGCCAGCACCTTGTTAGAATGGCTGGAGTCCGCCAAGTGTATTGTAAGCTACGCCATGGTGATTTTGTGGGTTATGACAGTTCTAGTCTCTTTCTGTATTTAGAGTTTATTTCTGAGGACAACAGTTTGCCTATTCTGTGCCTTATTTTGGGTACTGTGGTGTCCTTATTTTTTCCAGCTATAGTGTAAATTCCTTATACTCTGAAAGTGTTCACGTAGAACAGGTAAACTTCTCAGATATTATAGATGACCATTTTATTGTACATGGTCATTAATGACTTCATTAAAAGCAGTATCCCTCAAATGGTAGAAATGGAACCAAATTGTAGGAAACCAAAAGCGAGTGGAAACAGCGGACTCCGGAAGAAGGGGAAGAGAATCTTGAGTAGGTTGAAGAATAGGAGGCGATGGGAAAGAAGGAAGCTATAATGGTGGGCTGCTCAGAGAGGAGTTGATGAGAGTGAAGGACTTAAAGCTGGCTCAGGCAGTGGACACTGGTGAAGGAGGGGCCTAGTGAAGTAGGCAGTGACATCTGTGTTAGTTGAGGTGTCATCAGCGTAGGCCTCGATACAGCTGGGAGGGTGGACGTGCAAGGGAAGACTGACTGCCAGTGTTCTGAAGCTTGAGAACAGTCAAGAACTGAGTAGGTGGCTGTGGTAAGGAGGAGTAGCTCTAGCTGGTTACTGTGTGTGAGAAGAGGCCGGAGGACTCGGTTTGGATCTTCCCTTACTTGGGGACCTTGAGCAGATTATTTCACTGAAGTGTCTCAGAACCCACTTGTGTAGTAGAGATGGTGCTGGATCTTCTATGAAAAACGACTGAGGTTAGTGAGAAGATGCCTATAAAAGCACGTGGTCCAGTGTGCGACATGTAGCGTGTTAGTTTGCAAGGAAGCTTGCTCCTCACTTGTGATTCTGTCAGCTTTTCATACATCTAACCGAACATACTGTTTGACTGAAGAAGGAGGTGTGTGTTCCGAGGGCTGGTGGTGACCTACTTAAGGATGGATGTGACCAAGCAGCAGATAGAGGAGGCCAGCAAAGACTGCAGCTACTTAGCAAGAGCTAAAAGTAATGACATGCTGAGTTTTCAGTGTAGTGCTCTGGAGATAAATCCTGATAATTGAACTTCTTTAGGGAAAAAGCCTAAAACTTGAGACTAGCCTTCCTCTTCCTCCTCTGAAGCCAACATTGCAAATATCTTTTGGTAAGGTGCCGTGTTTTCTCACCTGCAGTCCAGCAGCACCGGCGGTGCAGCAGTAGTTGCGAGAGTAGCAGGCAGGGATGGTTAGCATGGTGGGTCTAGGGCAGCCCTGGAAGGCCAGTGTCTCTGAGTCACCCCAACTTTGCCCCTCTGCCCTTGACAGATTTACTGAATGGAACTAAATGAACGAACTAGGAACATGTGGGTAGAGTCAGGATGGTTGAAAGTGTAGCAGTTTATATGCTGTGAAGTGGCATATTTTATAGTATGCCGTAAGGCAGGTAGAGAAACACACAGTACGGGAACGTCTTTATGTTCAGCAAACGCGTTTTGAAGATGTAGCTTGCTGGGCACAGACAGAGTGAGATGCCCTGGGAGACCTGTATCCCTGAAGCACAGTTGAGCTGGTGAGTATGTGAATCTAAGGAAAGGGAGACAGAGTTAGGCTGTTTGGAAAGAGAACAGTGGGCTAGGGATGAGGACCTTATAGACTTCAGTGTTCCGACTGCAGTCCCGTCCTCAGGCTGTAGGCCCCAGGCGTGCTTCCAGTGTACCGCAGGGATAGTGTTACTACTCGGCCACCTCACTGACATCACGCTGACCTGAATGTCGCTGTCTCCTCAGGAAGGTGCAGCATGGATGACTCTGCTGAGGAAGGCCTCAGCTTTGAAGACGATATCTTACTGCAGGATGACCCTTACGAGGACGGCTGTATCTGTGCTCCTGACCTGACCACTGAGGACTATGTCCGAGTGACCCAGCTTTACTACGATGGCGTGGTGAGTAGGCTTACTGACTCTTCTTTCCAGTGGCTGCTGTGGCGTGTGTGTTGACAGGAGAGCACACGTGCTTCTAAAGAGATGATTCAGACAGGAAGGGGTGTGATGCCAGAGTGTGGTGAGAGTGTTGCTTCGATGGAGACTAATAAAGCTCCCGAGGAAATGCTGAGGAACAAGCTAGGAGCCGGCAGATGAGAAGGCCCCAGAGGAGTTCAGAAACCACAAGTCATACACACTTTTAAATCTTAACCACATAAAAATCAGAATAATTTTCTTCTTTTAGGGTATGCAATATAAAGATTATGCCCAAAGTGAGAAAAATTTAGGTGAGTATGTTAATACTTTAATGCTAATTTGTTGAAAGACTGTTAAGGGAGGGCTATCCACCCAGTCATAGCAACATAAGGAATTTATCTTTAAAAATGTAATTTTAGCTTGATTTGGTGATATAGTCTATCATCCCAGCATTTAGGAAGGAGGCTGAGGCAGAAGGATTGGTATGGACCAGCTTTGGTCAGATGCTGAGATTCTTGTCTCAGACTAGAAACTGTAATATTTTTTTGTTACACTAGAATTTAGCCAATACTTAAATTTTCTTAATCTCTAAATAGGTTGGATATTTATTTATTTTTGTTTTTTTGGATTTTTCAAAACAGGGTTTCTCCCTGTAGCCTTGGCCGTCCTGGACCAGGGTGGCGTTGAACTCACAGAGATCCGCCTGCCTCTGCCTCCCTAAGTGCTGGGATTACAGGCGTGTGCCACTATGCCCAGCTTAGGTTGACTGTTTTAATATTTGAAAATACTAATTTAGCTTTTGATTTAATTAAGAATATGACATCTGCAATATATGGTGCAGCAAGCCACTGTCTATCTTACAAGATTACTGTGATACTATTAAGCTGTACATCTTCTGGCCACTTCTTTTTCAACATCAGCACAGTTCTGTGATATCGAGATTGCATCCCTGTGTAGAAGCCATGTAAGTTACTGTGTCATAATTTTTTAAGAACTATGGTAGCATGTTGTACAGAATTGAGGATTACCAAGTACAGTGGGAGGCTTGTACCTCTTTCTTGAATGCTGTTTAATTTTATGTTTAGTAAGAGAAAAAGTAAAGACTTGGGATTGGAATATAAGTGAGTAATTATAACATTTTAATGAATTCCTTAAAGAGTAATAGACTGTAAACTTAAAGCTGAGTATTACAGAAAAGAGAAGATAAAGTGTCTGGTTTGCTAACCTGATTAAAGAGAAAGAACTTTCCATATAGTTTAAGCAGAGCTATAAATATAAAGTTCATATAAATGTAACATTTAGTAAATAATTACATTTGGGATCCTAATCTTAAAAACATTGTCTTTAAGCCGTTCTCGTGCTGCTGAGATAAGTTTGAAGAAATTACAGCATCTTGAGTTGATGGAAGACATTGTGGATTTGGCAAAGAAAGTTGCAGTAAGTGGTAGAGTGTGTTTCCGCTCGTCTGAATTAGAGAGATGGCTTGGAGGGCCACCGTGCTTGCTGTGCCCTGTAACCCCAGCACTGTGGTGAGGGGTGAAGACAGCAGGCCCACTGAGGTCTACTGGCCACCAGCCTACGGCCGGAATCAGTGAGAGACTGCCTCGGTGCTGGAAGGCGGTAGAGAACAGGCCATCTGACGGCCTTCTCTGACCTCCATGTGTGTGCAAACCCACATAGGTATATGCTCTAACACATACATGTTCATGTGTCATGCATACACGCGCTGTTCTGTGTTTCCCTCAATCACGCACGCAAATGAAAAAACAAAAGACAGCAAGCAGACAAGCAAAAGAATGTCAGTAGGTGGTGTCTGTCCCATAGTAGCAGCTTACAGCAGTCATCAGACAGTGCTTTATGCATCCGTAGACATGCTTGGGTTTGAAGCCGTCAGGCAGTACACTGGTTCCCTGTGTCACAGTGGGCTCAGGGTTGCATCTTGCTAAGGACTAGAAGCTGGAATTCATCATAAGTCAGTGAGTCATGCTGTGTGAAAGCGATGGGCTGTCGTGATGTAATAGCACCATGGACAAGGAATCTGTACTGGGAGTGACCTTGTCAGGAACAACTTGAGGGGTGGTTGGTCCCGTGTTGTGGATCTTTCGTATGGTTTTTCCTCTGGTACTGTTCTAGTTGAAGCTTACAGTTGGTGAAGGTGTTTGTTTCCTGCTAAAATTGCTCGGAACAACATGCCGGAGAGGCACACCTTTGTTAGGAGTCTAGGTGTAATGAACTTCAAAAATGTGTACGTTTAAAAGTCAAACAGTGTAATTTTTAACTAGAACTGTATGGAAGTCAATTTCTGAATTGCTTTAGAATGTTGAAGGGACAAATTAACCTTGTCAGAGCCGTGACAAGTACACGGCTGTGTATGTAGAGAATGTAGTCATGCACGCTGAGGACCGAGTCATCTGCCAGTTTCTGTGATCTATTTAACACTGAGCATGGTGATGCTGGCCAGTATCTCGTGCACAAGAGACAGGGTAAACATGGTTGTGTGAGGTCTGGCCAGGCCACGGTGGGTGCTGTTCCTGCAGTATCTTCTGGTGAGTTACTGAGAACTGTAAAGCACTAGTAAGAAGGGTATTGCGCTAAGTGGCCAGCCTGTGGCATGGCTGCGTATCACTGCCGCGTGCTCTGTGGTGTGCTGTTCCACGTGCTGTCCCCGCACAACTGCGGTGCAGTCTGTTTACTTAGGCATGAGCACACACTTGTGAGCAGTGCCCTGGGAGCTCACAGTGGCTGCAATGTAATAGAGTCTTAGGGGACTTTTTTCCTGTCCGTGCGTGGTTCCTTGTTAATTGACACTGTAGCTCACAACTTTTCCTTCCGTGTAGGGATTTTTTTCTCTTTTCATTAGAAAGTGAAATTCCGAGGCTAGGAAGATGGCTAAGTGGCTGGTTGACTGTGAGGATTGAGGACTGCAGCTCAGATGTCCAGCACTCATGTACATGCTGGCCAGACGTGGAGGCCAGCTTGTGTTCCAACACTGCAGAAGGCAGAAACTGGCTTATCAGAGTAGGGCTGGCCAGCTAGGTGAGCGGAGTAGCGAGAGACCCCTCCACATACAAGGGCGTTTGTCGTCGACCTCAGGCCTCCACACGCACACAGGCTCCCCCCAGCCCCCAGGAAGAAAAAAAGAATTCAAATAAAATTGACAGAAGAAGGAAAAATGTGTGGTTTTTGTTCTCTTTTATTTTGCAGAATGATTCATTCCTTATTGAAGGCTTGTTGAGAATTGGTTATAAAATAGAAAATGTAAGTGTTAATTAAAGACCCCAGCACATCCACTTCAGATGAATGAAAGCCACTCTTGCTGCATGCTTCTCAGATAACGACTCCAAACACCCAACCTTTCACATGTAGTGTTTGGTAATACCAGTTTCTGTGTATTAAATAAATGTTCTTATTTCGCAGATCTGCCTCATTTTTAAAGTCATATGGAGTATAGTTTTAAGCCATTTACAAGTTATTCATTTTGTCGTTAGATTATTTTCCTACCATATAATTCCTTCAGTGAAATTAAGTCCGTGGTATGATTGGTTTTTATTTTATTTTATTTTTTATAATTGCTAGGTATTCCAGGTGCAAAGATAAGTCTGTTTGTAATCTTACTGGAGACATGACTGTCTGTACTTCTTTCAAGCCTAATACCAACATGGCAATTCAGCTGTTTGTTTAGATTCTTAAAAATAAAACAAATAAAATAAAAGAATCTTCTTTGTGACCTCCTGAGTACACTGATCGCCTTTTTTGCCCAGCCATATGTTTCTGTTAGTCTTTGAGACAGGACATGTGGCCCAGCTCTGAGCCTTGCTCTGCGCCTTTATACCTTGTGGTCAGGGTAGAGCCTTAATTGACATGTGACCTGACGGTGCTCATCTACCTTTCTATTACTGTATTACCCTGCTGCCACAGCAGCTCAGGGTTAGAGATCTCAGCTGCCATGTCTGTAATCATTGTAGAAGCATTCTTGATCTGTGACAGTGGCCTACGGTCACTTCAGATGCCTGTGAGAGCACAGTGACTATTCTTAACTTGTGTGTTGGAATCTAACTGTTCACCACTGCATGACAGAGTAATGGCAATAGGTGTTAATGATCTGAAATACTGTAGAGGGCAAGGTCATAGTGCCATATAAATCAGTGCTCATATGCCCTTCTTCTTTTGAAACAGAAAATCTTGGCAATGGAAGAAGCTTTAAATTGGATAAAATACACAGGTGATGTAACGATTCTACCGAAATTAGGATCAGTTGACAGTTGCTGGCCCATGTTAAGTATTTTCTTTACTGAATGTAAGTATGAGTGCTTTAAATGTTGAGTGTTGGTTAAATATTATTCAGCAAGATGAGATGTGTACCTCAATGATACTTGATTTATCTTAGGAATGGTCAAACTGTTTTTCTTCTAGCATAGTGTTCAAATAAGATAATTTTAATATTGCAATAAGTTTATTTTCTACTTCTTTTATGGCATTATAGTCTTAAAGCTACTATGTACTGGATGCCATGTTGTTATAACTCAAAAGAAAGAGCCCAGAGCTGGGGTTCTTGTGTTTTGTCATTCATAAGTGAGAGTACAGAGCCTAACATGATTTTCATTTTCCTGATGCATCTGCTTTTTCCAATATGGAACTGCCTTTTATAATTTTACTTTTAAAAATGTTTTACTTCAAAGCATTTGAATATTAGCAGTGTTTTAGGGTATGGTTAATAACCTTAAGACAGGAAATTCTTGGTCCTGTAATAGATGAGCAGAAACTTGTCATCTCCACTGAAAGAAGCATGCCTATTTTGTCTGTTGGTTTAGATGCTAGAAGTAACTAGAGACAGAACTTTGTGGTAGGGTTGTTGGACACTACTCTGGATATTACATCCAGAGAATAGAGTTTTTGTTTTCATCGCCATTTTGAAGACCTGTAATTACAGGGAAGGAGCAGCAGAGAAGCAGCTTTCCATACGGTGGGCACCGGTGTGGGCGCTTTGTGACTCTCTCTCATGTTCCTCAAGGTGGCTATAGTTGTCTTGTTTTCAGGGGTTAGATCAGTGGTTCTCAACCTGCAGGTTGACCCTTGGGGTCAAACATCTTTCCTCAGAGGGCGCCCCCTGAGACCGTCTGCATATCGGATTTCATGATTGACAACAGCAGCAGCATCACCGTTAGGAAGTAGCAACACATAACTATAGTTGGGGTCACCACAACATGAGGAAGTGTACGAAGTGGTTGCAGCATTAGGAAGGTTGAGGACCACTGGGTTAGGTGATTTTCCTCAGTCTTGTGGGTCCTGGAACCTACACGAGAGCTTTCTCACAGTCTCTGGAATCAGAACACAGAATTTTGTTTTTGTTTTGTTTTTCCCTCACAGCTTAGCTCTGTCTCATAATACTCTGTTTGGTGACCATCCCAGATCTTTCTCAAATCTTAAATGTTAAGTATCCTTTAATCTTGGAAATTAATGATTGGTTAGATAGAAGCTTAACTATAATTTTGGTGTAGTAAATTTTTAAATCAGACTGAAAATCCTTTTTATAGCATAGCTTAAAGTGCAGAATTGAAGCTTGATAACCGTTAGAAACAAAGCTTGGTTATCTATTGCATTTTTATCAGTTTACTGAGGTTTTTGGTAGAATAGTTATTTGAAATATTCTTTACTATTATTTCAAATAACTTCTCACTAACATTTCTTGTGAAGGCAAATAATAAATAAAGCCTTTTAAATACTTCATTTGTTACAGTAAGTGCATTTTACAAGGTGGTTTTCCAGGTTTTTGTTTTTACACATTTTTATTGAACATTCTCTCTGACACATTGAATACTTGATACTGTCTGTTGAATTGGCTTTGGTAATTAGTCATAGTATGTTATGAAAGAAGGAAGATTATCACTCCAGTCACAATGTAATAATAAATTATAATTGCTGGAAATAAAAGCGGGTTTTATTCACAAAAATGATGAAGTGCCTTTCTGTTACTTTTTACCATATTGATTGATTGAGGTCTTCGAGATAAATCCAGGACCTGAAATGTGTTAGGTAATTGCTGAATTGCCGAGCTACATCCTCGGCCCCAAGTTTTTACCCTGTAATATATTTGAATGATGACAAAAACATATATTATATTTAAAATGTCTAATAATAAAATGATAATAATAAACTTACCTATATAAGCCAAGAATTAGAGTTTTATCAATACCAGTTTAAAACTAATATTCTCTTTCACTTTCCTAATACAAATTTCAGATAAGTATCATATTACTAAGGTTGTAACTGAAAACTGCAACTTACTTGAAGAATTTAGAAGGCACAGTTGTATGCAGTGTGTGAAGGTATGAATGCTTTAATAGTTGTTAAAACATGAATAATAAAGTTGTAGAAAATAAAATACTAGGACTACTGGAAAGTAATGTGCTTAAGGAAAACTGTTAAGGAATTTTGATTCAGAATATTTTTAAGAAGGAATAGTATCTTAATCAAAAATTTCCAGTGATTTAAAAATTAGATTTTTTTCAACCAGGTCTGTACTCTATTAAGATTTTCTTTGGTAGTAGTCTTACTGAGATACAGACGGTGTGCCACAGTTCATTTTTCAGAGGAAGTGCAGCCTCCTAGCTCAATTTTAAAGAAAATATTTAGAAGATATTTAGTGTTCTGTAGGATTTTATAATTAAAACCATTGACATCAATTTTCATTAATCAAAAAATATGAGTATCTGAAATGAAAAATGTTGTACATGTAGCATTTTCATGTATATTCTTGCTAACCTGCTGCATTAATTTTAGCAGTTAGTCAACATTGCCTGTGAGTTAATGTATATATTAACAAAACAAATACAGGACAGCCATGTGAGTTTATATGTATATATTGAGATGCCAAGGACTGTTGGATAAGACTACACTTTCTAATAATCTAAAGCTACAATTTTATCATGCATCTCTTATTTATATGTGTGTATTTATATATGTGTGTATGTCTGTATTTATTTATATTTTTGAGACAGGATTTTTCTGTGTTAGCCCTGGCTGTCCTGGAGCTTGCTCTAGAAACCAGGCTGGCCTTGAACCCACAAAAACCCACCTGCCTCTGCCTCATGAGTGCCTGGGATTAAAGGGATATGCTACCACTGCCAGGCGCGTCTCGTTTTTAGACTGTTATACCTCATGAATAAATTTTATTTAAAAGTGTGCTTAAGGAATACTGTACATAATGTGTTAGTCCGAGCCTTAAGTTCAGTAAGAGACCTCGTGCGAAGGGAATAAGGTAGGAACACACAGAGGAGGACCCCATGACTACTCACCTCCACATGTGTGTACACACACACTGTACGAAACCTGTACCTGTCCTCTCTGGATTCCCTCCTCTGACCTTTGCTTGCATGTACAAGGCCACGTGCACACACACCTTCCAACATACAAGTGCATATGCCGTATGCAAGCTAGCAGAGTTTCTGTCCCGTAGATGCCTTACAGTACCCAGGACCGTGGAGTGATAGTTATTTTAGCTGTGCTGTGTTTTAGAGGATGATGACAAAAACAAAAGTACGTGTTTAGTATATTTTCCCCCCAGTTTTTTGTTTTGTTTTTTGAGACAAGGTTTCTCTGTGTAGCGTGGCTGTCCTGGACTTGCTTTGTAGGGCAGGCTGGCCTTGAACTCACAAAGATCCACCTGCCTCGCCTCCCTGAGTGCTGGGATTACAGGTGTGTACCACCACCACCTAGCCTTCCAGATATTTTTTTTATCCGTGCAGGATTGAATCTGCAGATGCAGAAACCATGGGTATGGTTTCAGTACTAAGTGAGTATATCAAAATACTAGAGATATCATTCTTCTTTTCTGTGTACATGATCCTGTGCTGCTCTGAGAGTAAGGACAGAAATCAGGATCTGTGTCCCCTGTGTGTTGGGCGCTTGATTGTCTTTGGAGGGCACTGATGGATCTTCTTTCCCTTTGGTTTCTCAGCAAGGAGAACTGATGAAAATGAGAGGAAACGAGGAGTTTTCCAAACAAAGATTTGAATTAGCTGTTATTTATTACACCAGAGCCATTGAATATAGGTAAGAGCAAAGCAGAAAAATAAACCCTTCTCATGTGCAGAGCAGAGCAGGTGGATTACAGTGTCCTCCGTGTAGAGCAGGCTCTCTCACCTGCAGGAGCCGGCCAGGCAGCTCAGGCCTGTCAGCGAGCCCAGTGCTTTTCCCCGCTCTGCCTTGTGTTCAGGCTTCCCTACAGACAGAGCCAGACAGTGAAAATTAATGCAATCTCTCTGTTGGCATTGCGAGTTTCTTTTGTTTCAGTTCTTTGTCAGAGCGCCCAGTGCTGACTACATCAGTGTGCTCGTCTTCACCAGTTCCATAGTTCGTAGTCAGCTAGACCTTTAATAATGGGTGACATTATCTAGTTCTCACAGTAGTCCATTTTCATTTCTTTTGAGCAAGGTACTGAGAATGTTAAAATTTAGTAATTTTAGTCAGTTAAGGCTCTAAATCCTGTATCTTTCTGTTCTGTAATATAGTTGTAAAGCTTTAAGAAGATTTTTTTTTAATGTCTTATGTTTGCAGTGTGATTTTTGTTTGTTTCAGATATGTGTTTTACTGACTAAATGTTGCTTCTTTTTAAGACCTGAAAACCATCTTCTTTATGGTAACCGAGCTCTCTGTTTTCTTCGTATGGGACAGTTTAGGTAAGTTGGTTAATTACTAATTACTGAATTATTATGCCTAATACCTATTTTAGGGAACATACCTGTTTTGTAGGTATGCAAGAAAACCCTGAATAGTTCTTTGTCTGAAATAGTGAAATGGGGAAAAACAGGTTTTATTTATAATGGCTGCAGCAGAATGCAAGCATATGTCCCAAGTTATTTTAAGTACTTGACATGTTATTTAAGTCTCACAGCACCCTTCTGGTCATGTTACATTATTTTTCACATTTTACTGGACAGCTACAGCCAGTGAGTGGTGATGCTGAGATTTAAACACAGACCATGCTGATGACACCAGCATTGTAACGTTTGTGGTATATCCCATCCTTTTGCTCTATTTAACTTTCATAGTGTACTTTTGCTGTTTATTTTGTCTTGTTAGATGAAATTAAATAAACATCTTTATAAGTGAAAAAACGCATAGAAAATTAGTGGTATTTATGGAATATAATCATAATTAATTAGTTTCTTATGTTGAATTTGAACTTTGCCTTTATGAGTTGAGAAAAACTATTGTGATTTTTTTTTTTGCCCTTCTTTTAAAAAATTTTAGTATATAAACTAAGTGTTAGCATGTATAAATAATATATAAGCAATATAGATTGTTGTGTTCAATTATGCCCTGCCTTATTTTAAGAGAGTGGATCCAGAAATACATCCTTGCAGAGAAAAATACTCAAAACACATTAAACTAGAAAACCCAAGTTAGAACCTGGGACCCTCAAAACAAGGCTGCCTGGCCTAAGGTCTTGCATAGATATTAGTTATAAGTCATTTTTGCCTTTGACTTTCTGCTTCCTAAAATAAAGAAGGAAAACATGAAAAGTCATGAAATTCTCATTATTCATAAACGTTTATAGCAATTGCTTGGTTGAAAGTGGTTTTCTCACACTTACCTTAGAAATTACTTATGTAGACCAGTAGTGATGTTAATTAAATGATAGAGAAAAATTCTAGAGGTGATAGGAAAAACTCGAAAACGCAGTGTGGGTTTTCATTTTCTCTGTGGAGACATGAACGCTGAGAAATCCTGTGCTAGCCGTTTCTTAGTAAAGCGTTTACTTGGGATGTGGGGGAGCGGGAGCGGGAAAGGTGTAGTATCTGCCAAGTGTGTAGCTTTAAAAAGTAACATTTATTGTGTTTCTCTTTTATTATAAACAGAACACATTCTCATGGTAGAAAATTTGGAAAATACAAGAGTTTAAAAAGAAGAAAATAAGTATCACCAGTAATCCCAGCATCTTGGAGAATACCACTGTATTAACGTTATGCAGCTGTTAGATGGCTTAAGCCGTGGATAATCCGAGGCTAGACTAGAGGAATGGATGGCTTGACAGTCTGCCACCAGTACCACTGTTCTCACCTGGTTCTGACAAGAAATGAGCTGCAAATGTCTAGGTTATTGTTTCTGGCTAGGTCAAGAGTTAACAGATAATCGGAACTGTTTGAAGGTGAATTTGTGTGTGTTCAAGATGAGATAAATAGGTTTCTGACTTGGCTAGTCTCTTGTGAAAACTGAGATGTCTAACTGAAATTTTGCCAGGCTGAGGGTCATCTGCTCTCCAGCCCTGAGAGCTGAGAGGCCAGCCAGGCTGATTGTCCTCTCTGAGGACTTGAGGGAGAGACCCGTGAGGAGGATCTTCCTCAACCCTACTGCACAAAGAGGTGACGGTGGCCAAGCCTCCAGCTAGCATGAGGGGAAGGCTGAGACTAGGACAGGGCACCCGTGTGTGTGCCCTGCTAATGTTGTGAGAACGTGGCAGCTTGGTGTATGGCAGTCGCTGGCTTGCATCAGGCAGTCGCCAGCACGTCCCTGCTGCTTTGACATACAGAACTGTGCTCACAGTTTTGCCTCCTACCTTCTCACACATTGCTAACGTGGCCTGTGCCTGGTAGCCGTGAGCTTTCCTGGCCTTTTTCCTCCTGATGCAGTGACTAGAGCTGCTCATGGTTGAGATGTCTGTGGGCAGCGTTCTAGCTCTGAGAACAACTTTTAACAGCTGGGTTACCAAGGCTGACACACTGTGCAGTTCTCACATCCCATGGATGCCAGTGAGACCTGTCATGGGAATCTGGCAGTCAGCTGCAGGGACAGCTGGAGAGAACGTGCCCACCCACTAAGCCTGGGGGACAGTGTTGACCCCAGTCGCTCACAAGGCCAGACTGCCTCCTTGTTATAAAAGCAGGAACTGAAGTATAAAGGTACTGAAGTGGAAAATGATAAAAGGCTTGAATGAATGTTAAAATGCATAAGTGATTATAAGATTCTTTAATTCTAAAATATTAGAAAATGAAAAATTACATTAAAAAAAAAAAAAACTCCAGCGAGACTACACTCCTAAAAAATCCTTCACAGCCATGGGAGGTAGTTGCTGCTGTCTCTTTCAGATGAGAAAACAGGTACAGTGAGGCCCAGCAGGGCCCAGGAATGCTTAGATAAGTGTGATGTGTCCAGAGGTTGAGTCCAGTTTACCTGGATGTGGTTTCTGTTGTGAACACTTGGAAGGTAACACCGTACAATGGCAGTGTGAACGCCGGAAAGATCTTAAATGAACCCAGTAGTCACACATTTATGAGGACCTGCGTACCCTTACGTAACATGCAGATTAAAAACTACAAGTTTCTCTTTCATACCCATCAGATTGGCAAAAGCTTAAAACCTTCGTAAATATCAAGTATTTGAGGATGTGGAGCAAAGGAAACTTTGGTGCTCGGCTGGAGAAGGTGTAAGTGTGTCCAGTCACTGTGGCGAGCAGTCTGAGAAGGTGAAGAGATGCACACTCTGCAGGCCACGCCTAGGGTCAGCCCTTCCCAGCTGTCAGACGTGTACCCACGAAGACACGTGCAAGCCTCCACGTAGCATTGTGTAAAGATGTGCAAACCACATAAATGTCTATCAGCAGGGGAATGGATAAATGAATTGTGCTGTGTTCACACAAAGACGTTTCAAATAGTGCCTAACATGCGTGCAATGTTGAGTGTCAAGCAAGTTGCAGAGTGTTTGTACAGTGTGATGCCATTTATATACTGTTAAAGACATACAAAACAATGTGTACATTCATATTAATATGAAATATGAATTGCAAGACTTAAAAATGTGTGGGCATTTTATAAACCAAATGAGTGGCTATCTCTGGGGAGAGAAGGAGGGAAAAGGGGTTTGAGATGGGAGAGTTGGCACACAGTGGGTGTCAACTCTAACAAACCTGCAAATAAAAAGCTGCAGTAATTATGGCAAAATGTTATTTTCTTGCTAAGTTGGTACATGCGTGTTCATGCTGTGTTCTCTGAATTGTATGTACTTGAAATACTTGACAAAAAGTAAAGCAAGTATTATCTAAAACACACATAGAAGGAAAAAGAAAGCAGTGAAACATCGAGGTTAGCCTGAGAAATGATCTTGAAGAGAGAAACACCGTCATGTTATGGTTAGTGGTGCAAAGAAGAAAGCCAGAGTTAGAGGCGTGTGGGCTGGGAAACATGCTCCTCCTGAAGTGATCAAGGAGTCTGATGGTTGTAATCTGAAATAAACACTCGCTCAGAGGGCTCTGTGAGAGGCCCTGGGGCCTGAGAGCCATGTGCACTCCCTTGGGCCGGATGTGGTGCTTGTAAGATGGAGAGCTGGGTCTTTCCTGCTGTTTCATCTTTGCCCTCGCAACCCGGAGTCTGAGGGTACTCTATGAACCCCAGGGCGCTCCTGGCTTGGATGAGAGTCTTCGTTGTTTTGGTCTGGTAGAGGCATACTTTTCAGTACAGTTTGTAACAGTAGTCATTAATACGGTGATAGTTGTGATTGAAATAACTAGAAAATTTCATTGTCGTTCATAGGAAAAGGCATTAAGACATGTCTAATTCAGGTGGTCACAAAAGCTCATATAATGTACGTGAGTGAAGTTCGCTCGCTCTAATTCATTTTTGTAGAACTTATGTGGGAAATAATGAACATTTCTAGGGGCAAGTGTAGTTGGAGATGGGACATGAATCCCCGAGTATTCTAGTTTGCTTTAAGCAAGCCTTAACCTTTTACTATTTACCTATCTTTTAATGTTCCTTTCTGTCAGACTCCAGATATTGTTTGTATAGCAGAGAGAATTTTAAGCCCTGTTGATTTGTTTTTCTGGATTTCTGAGATCAGAGGTATAGTGACTTAACCATGCTTTTGTGAGAATTTCCTTTTCCTGTGAGTGAGTGAGACACAGACTGTGAGTGTATGTGTGCATGTGCCTTCTGCGAGGGCCCACAGCTTTAGTTTTAGTGTGTGCTGTTTGAATTATTCGTCCATTCTCTCTTCATCACATGGTCTGCTTTTATTTAGAAGCATTGAAGTTGCCCTTGAAGAGAACACGATGCCAGTCTTGGGGAGACGTACCCCTTTTAAGAAGACGCCATCTTATTTTATATGTTGAGTATTTTCCTGCATTTTGTATGCACATCACATGCACATCTTATCAGATCCCAAGAATTGGAGTTACAGACACTTGTTAGTTGTCTCACGGGTTCTGGGAACTGAACCCAGGTCCTCTGCAAGAACAGCAAATACTCTTAACCACTGAGTTAGCTCTCCTACCCATACCCTCCCTTTTTAAAATAAATACACACGATAAACCTTCTGAGCTGAAAAGAATCCACTGACAGTTCTTGTGTGGTTACTCTTCAGATCCTATGTGTTCCCGTCATACCTCATGTTCATAGATGTGCTCATGTTGACCCAACTGGATCTCCAGTTTATAAATCAGAATATGGGCAATCTGAGACACACCCTCTAAAAACACTGGATCTCCAGTTTATAAATCAGAATATGGGCAATCTGAGACACACCCTCTAAAACACTGGATCTCCAGTTTATAAATCTCAATATGGGCAATCTGAGACACACCCTCTAAAACACTGGATCTCCAGTTTATAAATCTCAATATGGGCAATCTGAGACACACCCTCTAAAACACTGGATCTCCAGTTTATAAATCAGAATATGGGCAATCTGAGACACACCCTCTAAAACAGTGGAGAACATCCCGCCCTGCACATGCAGTTGTACAGTTTGAGTTTTTATATCTCAGTCTTAGGACTTAAATATTCGTGTGTATCAAGATCTTGCTCTGGGTACTCGAGTGATCCATCAGATTGTGTTAATACAAGTTTTGAATAGGCCACTTGAATTAGTCTATAGACTGCTTATAAATTGTGTTAGGATATAGATTATTTTCAGTTAATTATATGCAGGTTTTTGGTGACTGTCATTTACTTATCCTCGGTATTCAGGTAGTGATGTCTGTTGGGTATTACTTATAATCTTCCTCTGCTCTGTTAGATGAAGGGGCATGAAAAGTTTTAAATCTAGGCACTTTGATTTAGAACATCCTGCTTCTGTGAATGGTTGTTAGTCAGTGTATATTTGACGATAGCTGAGTGAATTTTGTTTGTGGTTTAATAGTAACGTTAAGCTACTTGGGAAATAGTTGTTTCTTTGTTAATCTGGTTGGACTGTGAAAATAATGTTTGATAATCCTAGGGGGAAGATCCTTGACAGCCAGCAGCGTTCTTGTGTACTCCATGTGTGCATACATACTGTATTTTGAGAGAATCAGTAAATAGCCTTTTTTCCCGTGCCTTATTCAGAGGCACTTGAGAGGAGTGTGAGCTCCTGGTGACCATATGCCCCCTGTGTCACTGCAGACCCTGGGACTGAGGCCTTAAGTGTGGTGGTTAAATGGTTCATTACTGATTCACCCACAGTCACAGCAGAAGCAGGCAGCCAGGGCCTGTGAACTCTAAGCCTCAAAGAAAGGGTATCCTGAGGGTCTGTGGTTAAGGTCCCAGAATAAGAAAAAAAAAAAATCAAAAACCAGTATTATATGTAGTGTTAGATTAAGGCATGTCTGGGGACATAAGTAAACGTGCTTTTGTGATAACTACAGTATGTTGGAACACTTAAGCTAGAACACAGTCCTCAGTGGTTAATGGAAGTCGATAGGTCACAGATTGGTACTGCACAGTGTCAGCCCTGCTCTCTGCTGCTGTGGTCTGGATAAGCAGCATTGTGACCACTTATAAGATCTGGCCCCGTGCTGGGAATTGACTAGTTTAACTCACCTTCACACGTTACCAAATAAGTTACTTGTAATGTGTGTTGTTGGAATGACTGACAACACTGTTAGGGTTCACGATATTAATACTGTTCACCTGATGGCTGATGACAGAAATGAGCATAGAGACATGATCCCTGAGCTGTAGCCAGTGGGCCAGCAGTGCGAAGCCTGGAGCGTGACGCCGTGGGTTGTCTTCAGGAAGCTGGTGGTGTACCATGTGACCTGAAGTGGAGACATGAGCAAGGGTGGTCAGGGCCTAGACTTTGCAGGTTACCTTACGGCTCTTGCGTTGAGAGAGGTGGTAAGATGCCAGAGAGTTTCAGGTGAGATGATGGTGTTACCGTAGTACCTTTAAAACAGCTTGTTCTGCCTGCAGAAACCTGCTCTGGAGGGCTGCACCAAGGCTGAGGCTGGGAGGCTTTCAGAAGGCTCCAGGCTGGAGGAAGGTAGCTACAGTAGACATGGAAAAGTGAGAAGATTCAGGATATTTAGAGGTCGGGTTGACAGAAATGGCCCATGGTTTAGTACTGGGGTGTGAGGAAGGAGCCTGATTTGTGTTCTTAACAGTTCTTGGATTTGGGCCCACCTACTAACAGTGTGGAGTCATCGGAAAAGGAGAACATTTCTAGGAGGTAGACTAGATATTATCTATCTTGCTATCCTCTATCTGTCCATATATACATATGTATATGAATGCACACAAACATAAAATAACACTGAAGATACACACACAGTGAGTGGAAATACCTGGGAAACATCCAGAATGGAATATTGTGTGGAGGTGAAACTAAAGAGTAGATGTCATGTTTGGGAGAGATGTCCAAGATGATTGAATTTGGAGATACAGTTGATTTGTCTTAGGAAAGTAGGCTTCACCCTTAATATTGGAATCCTTTGAAGTTTGACTCCCAAGCATTCTGGTTTAACTAACAATATGGTAGAGCTTGCCGAGTGGGCGTTTTGAAGCTTCTCCAGTAATTAACGTTATTGTAGGCCAGATTTAAACACCCTGCAGCCCTTTACGAGAGCCAAGAGAGAAGAAGAACCTCGAGTGTCTGTCAGTGGTGGGTGAGACCGGCCCTGGAGACAAGTGGAAGAAGATAGCAGGGTCTGGCTGCCAAGACATCGGAGAGCGTTTGGATGCAGGAATATGAACTTCTTTAAGTGCCGGAGGAGCTGTCAGTGCAAGACTTAGAGCAGAGGGTGGTTGGTGTGAGCTGAGAACCGTGAGGAGCTGAGGACAGTAGGAGTAGGCGGCTTCTAAAAGTGCTTGGAGGCAGGGACTAGACGCCTGAAGACTGCTTTAGGTCCGGGAATATGGTGAAGAGATGTAATTCCCAGCCTCCTGAGGAGGCTGGCCCTAGGGTGTATGTGGCAGCTCAGCACGGCATCTAAGGTCTGGGCTTTCAGCCTAAATGACTTGGTCAGAAAGCTGCCACCCCACCCCCACGGTGCCAGGGAGACTCCAGTGACTGCTGTTAGGCCAACTGTCATATTCTCCAGCAAAGCCAGGCATTTCTTGTGATCTTCTCAAAAGTATTACACATCCTAGGAAATGTGTATCACAAGGGAGTAGACTGAATCTTTACAAGTTGTTCATCTTAAAAACAGCACCCAGGTCACAGCATCACAGCAGTGCCCCAGCAACCCATGTTCTTCCTCTTCTTCACTGTCCCATCTGTCTTCCTGTCAGTCTCCAGGGTGGTTTTGTCTTTATGCCATCTAAATGGAGTCATGTAGTAGGTGCTCTTCTGTGCTTGGTTCTCAGCAGTCTTCTGGGGTCCCTGTTGTTGCATGTACTGTTAAAGTATTTCCTGTGGCATGACTAGACAATAGCCTGTCAGTTGTGTCACCGATGGGTGTTTGCTAAGTTTCTAGGTGGCCGTCCATGGTGTCAGGTTCTGTTGGGCGTACAGTCAAGGGCAGAGGGTGTGCTTGTAGTCTGCTCTAGTTCATAACTTCCCTGTGACGTCGTTCGGTCTGCTGCGGGTCTGAATTTTTGTTGAGGCTCAGCCCTCACTGACACTTACTTGTCTGTTTCATTTTAGACGTGGTGGATGTGGAGTGGTGTAAGTGGAGTCAGTCTTCATTTGTGTAAGGTGGTTAAGAATGCACGAGTGTTTCCTCAAATCTTACTGTCTATTTGAATGTCCTCTTGTGGAATGCCTTGTTGACCTTTTTTTCATTTTAAATTTTTATTAATTACAGTTTATTCACTTTGTATCCCCCCTGTAGCTCCCTCCTCCCCTCCCAATCCCACCCTCCTTGCCCCTTCTCCACCATGCCCCTCACCAAGTCCACTGATGGGGGAGGTCCTCCTCTCCTTCCCTCTGACCCTAGCCTATCAGGTCTCATCAGGAGTTGTCTTTCTCTGTGGCCTGGTAAGGCTGCCCCCCCCCCCCTCAGAGGAGGTGATCAAAGAGCAGCCAATCAGTTCATGTCAGGGACAGTCCCTGTTCCCATTACTATGGAACCCACTGAACTGCCATGGGCTACATCTGTGCAGGGGTTCTAGGTTATCTCCATGAATGGTCCTTAGAGCAAACCTTTTTTTATCTTTTTAAGATTTATGTATTTATACAGTATTTTGTCTGCTTGTACACCTGCAGACAAGAAAAGGGCACCAGATCTTATTGTAGATGGTTGTGAGCCACCGTGTGGGTGCCGGGAATTGAACTCAGAACCTCTCTGGAAGAGCATCCTTCTAACCTCTGAGCAGTCTCTCCAGCCCCTGCTGACCTTTTGTTATCCTTTCCCCCTGAGGTGAATGTCCGTCTTTCTGTCACTTTTGTAGTCTGATTGTGAATCACTGAGACATGTGTCTTGCAAGTATCTTCACACTCTCAGTAGCTTGTTCTTTCATTACTCTTTTTCTTTTTTCCACCAGAAGCTGTGAATTTTAGGGATAACGAAGTGGTTCAGTGGGGATAGGCACTTGCCACTAAATTGGAAGATCAGGCTTTGATCCCAAGATTTCACATGATAGAGAACTCAGTCCTCTAAGCTGTCCTCCAACCTTATAGTGCAGTTTGTCAGGTTTTTTTTTTTTTTCCTCGCAGTAAGCCTGTGTTGTTTTGGGTTGATAATCTTTGTCTGCTCTATGACCACCATAGTGTTGTGTTTCTTCTGAAAGTGACTGTTCTGTGTCTGTCTCTCTCTTGCTAAGATTTGCATGGCTGCTTAGGTCACAGCCTCCTGGGCTTGGTTTT